CACTCTTTCAAAAACTGTAGATGAGATTATAGGTGGTCTTTATTCCTGTATCCTTTATACTGTTGAGTAATTACCTTTCCTGTTGCAGCTTTCTTCTGACACTTTGTACTGGATGCTTCCTTGTGTCCTGATGTGGCCTCACCTTCCTGTATTTTCAGCCTCTGCAAGTGTAACAACATGGGACTAAAAAGAGGGAGTTTGCCTGGAGCACAGCTCTGTCATGGTTCTGGTTGAGCTGGTGTTAACACCAGTACAGCTACCTCTTGCTGTCTGTCATACGCCCCTTTCCTTTTGAATAATCAAACAGAAAATTGGGTGCTTAAAACTAAGATAAAATCCTGAAATAATTTTTGACTGTTCTGGTCTAACAGGGAGGCTTTTTTTTTTTATTTGGCTTTTTTTTTTTTCTTCTCCTGGAGGATGCCCTTGTGCTGTTTCCTTTCTAGGCTTCAGCTGTGTTCCTGTCCACTTCTCCTTTTTGTCAGTAGTGGGTGGCTGATCCTTGCCTTGGAGCCCTGTGGTTTGTTGCTGTGAGAACCGTGGGTGCTTCTAGCCACCTCTGCCAGCAGGGGAAGCCCGGCTGCCCTTCCATGCCCTAAAGACTTCTGTGCTATCTGCCACATTTCCATGTATGCTGGGGTATAAAAGTTAAATGAAGTAATTATTAGAGCTTTGATAAGTAGATCTAGTTACTCCAAAGTGTAAACAGTCTGAGAGCACTTTTTTTGCATGTATTTGAATTAGCTTTCTGTCTTGAACTGGTCGCTGCCTGTGTGGTTATGTGAGTAATAGTGCTGGTGCAGTGGGAGTGAATGAGGGCAATGGGGGACTGTTAAAACTTCCGTTTGGTGGCAGCTAGCAACCCACTTGCTTATCTGTATCCACATTCATAGATCAGCTTAGTTTCTGCCTACTCTGAGCACTAGTATAACAAATATAAATTGAAAAAAAAAAGGGGGGGAAGCTTAGGCTATAATTTGAGCCAGTGGTGCTCATGACTGTTCTTGTCCTAGTCTCAAAACAGTTCCCTCTCATAGGCCATTTATGCAGCTAAATAGTGACCCAGATCGAAGACTATCTAGCTGAGAAATTGCCTGACAAGAAATGTATTTACCTTTAAACCAAATTAACTTCCCCTTTCAGTTCACCACAGGGCTGCAGAGCACATCTGTGTGGCCAGAGGGAAAAGAGCATCACAGGGATCAGGAGAGGGCAGGACTGCCGCAGTGCCAGCTTGCTTTGACTGAAGTTAGCAGAGCTGAGGCACGTAGCTTGGTGGTGCTGTTTCCTGCCATGTCATTCAGCTGAACTGATTTGTCCTTTCTAAAAAACATGCTTAAAAGTTTTATGACAGCTTTGTGTTGTCTGTAACATAATAAATGCTCGGTACAGTAATTGCACTGAAATTCTGCAGAAAGTTAAAGTGAAGGTTATTTAATTGTAATTATTTTATCCCAGTCATGAAAATCAGAGCATAGAAGCAAATCTAGGTTGTGAGCTATTTGTATTTTTGTTGTATTTACAGAAGACACTTTGTTTTGTTTCTTTTGCTGTAGAAATCCCAAATAAGAAATTTTTGAGGAGAAATGTAAATCTTTAGTTCAGAGTCTGTATATTGCTCATTGTAATCCTGGTTTGTTGCCAGATTCCCCTAGTAATACCACATATGCAATACTGTGTAATCTCATAACATAACCTCATAGCGTTATTAAACTTTAAAAGATGATAACTTAAAAATGGCTAGAGAAATATTAGTCTCTGTTGCCTTTTGATATAGAAGTAACTGAAGATGCTCTGAAAAATAGATAATGTTTGAAAGTGGTAGGTAGCTTTAGTTCTGCTTCCTTCCTTAATTTCAATACATTGTCCTTTTCTTTCATTTCATCTAGATTTTTTAATAAGCAATTTTAAAATTAAATGATTGTCACTCAAAACAACAGTGTGTCTGACAGTAGAGTTTTCATAGTGTAAGCATCACAACTGATGCTATTCTGAAGCATAATATCAACATCAAAGGATGAATAAATAGTGTGTTTGAGGAGGAAGACCAAGTGTTTGGTATAACTGTTGGGCTATACATGTTCTGAACAAACGTCATTTAGAGGGTTTTTAACTCGGTAGCTAAGAAGTAAAAAGCTGTGATTGATAAATTCTCATCCCTTTGTTTTGAAGAAAGTGGATTTGGAAATGCATTTTTTTCTAAATGGTCTGTGTTGTTTAACTATTCAGAATCATTAGCTCTACTCAGAGTACTGAATTCTGTTTTGAGACAACTGGCAAATGGCAACTGTACTTTTAAGTGCAGAATTCAGGCAGTAGCATTAGTTCTTGTTAAGTTGTATTTCTCAGTGAAAAACCTCCTAGATCCTCCACTGAAGAGGCTTCTTTTCAGTTCTTTAAAAAAAAAAAAAAGTCTTCCACCTAGCAATACAAGTTAGAGCACAATAGGTTGTGCTCTGATATGCACTATATATCTCAGCTTTATGACAGTGAGTAAAAAAGCCAGTTTGTACAGATAATGTTATAGAAAAATACTAGTATCTTGAAATAAAAGTAATTCTCAACCTTTGTGCAGTCTGTATGCAACCTTCTATTTAGTAAAGCAGAAATTAGAATATGCTGCCAGAATTTTCTCCATTATTTTTGGTTCATTGTGCACATTGAGCAGAACAGAAATATTCAGGATAATGCTCATATTTGTATCTGAGCAATTTTAAATCTTGGACTTGCCTGCCTCTTTTATCTGTATGGTCCTTCCATGGTACTTTCTGCTGCTAGTTTGTGACCATTTTAGTGTACTAGTGTATGTTATATAAACAATGATGTGTTATTTCTGTAGATTGACTTTCCCTGATGTATAGATAAGAAAAATCTTTTGGTTTTTTTTTTTCACTCTTGCAGAAGATTCTAAGCTGAGACATGTAGAAAAAGATGTTTTGATTCCACAAATAATGAGGGACCGAGCCAAGGAGCTGTGTTCAGATAAAGTGCAAGGTAAGAGTCAAGTGTTCATTGGGAGATCAGATGTATTCACTTTTGTGCCCTGAATATAATCCTTGTTTTTGAAGACGAATAGTCAGAGAATTAATATGTATGATCTGCATCTTTTCTGTTCACTGTGAAACCAGTAGTAAAGCGTATAAATCTGCCGCGTTGGCTTTGGCTGCTTGGTGATGTGAACTATTTTCCAAAATGACTTGTTCTTGAGGGCTGCAGAATTTAGTATGATAATATAAAAGTTTCCACATCTTGGTCTAGACTATGTGATGACAGAGTGACACAAGAGTTACTGTATTCCTGTATGTAGTATTTAATACTTACATAAATCGAATTGCCTCATGTGAGCCTTCAGTTAGGGCCTCCCTCATTAAGATAAATTTAATGGAATTTATCTTAACTAACTGCATCCTTTCCCTGACCCAGTATTTTAATGGTACATGCACCTAACACACACATGTTTTTAGACAGACATTGAAATAGGATGATGCAGTCCACTTTTGCATGTTTTCATTTTGTTTTGAAGAGTACTGGACAACAACTTTTTAAAGTTGAGTGTCACTGCTTCTTTTTACACCCAACTGTTCATAGATTCCTGGAAGAAATCTGGAACTTTTTGAAGTACAATAAAGATAGGGCTACTTATGCACAGGTTAGCTGAGAATGTTGCTGTAAGAGGCATGTAAGAATACAAAAATACCCAAATATTAGGCCACAGAGTGATTCTGTACAAATGGCATGCTTTCAGTAGAGGGCACTTGCCTCTTGTCATCTAGATCTGTGCTCTCTAAACTTTTTTGATTGCGCATCCCATCAGTAAAAAATTTCTGAGCACACAATCCCAATATATGTATATTTATTTATAAGTTATATACATGTACCACTGTGCTAGTATATCATATACATTAGAAAATACAAAAATAGAAATAAAAAAAAGATTAGATAAATATGAAATAAACAGTACTTTAAAATTATTTTTACATTATTAATGGTATAAAACCGTTCTTGCTCTAAAATATTACTATTAATAACAATATTTTTAATGAGAGCTATGTGATTGAATAGGTTTCATTTTTTTTTTTTAAATCTTTGTTTAACTCTTTGGGGTACAGCAATTCGAAGGTCTTCCTTGAAGTTCAGTTTATTTCAATACTGTGTTGTAATGGGTGTCATAGCTGAAAAAGGTACTTCACAAAAATAAATAGATCCCACTGGAAGAAGTGCATTGTGGCATGTGGGTCATTGAAAGAAAGTGTCAGTTAAATACATTTTGAGAGCATGCTATTTGTATAATTTTGTTCAGGGATAGACCAAAGAGGGGTGAGTGTGTGTGTTTTTGTCCTCTGAACTTTCTCTGTGTAAGATGAGGACTTTGATTTCAGCATGTTAATTTTCTGTGGCAGCAACCAATATTGGAGATTCTTGAGGTGTGAATTGTGGACCATTACCTTGCAGCTTCTCCATGACTTTGCCTCCATAAATTTTAAAGAAAAATTCTGTCTTTTTTTCTTTCTGTGGTGTTAGGTGAAACTATAATTTTTTTTTCTTCCTTCTCCTGAATACAGTTCAGTTGTGTATCTTTAGGAAAATGAGGTTTGTGGATGCATCTGTCTCCCCCTCATTCCTCTGTCACTTGTAAGACAGCTTTGATAAAATTGTGTGGAATTTAGAGGTGGAAACTGAATATTTCTGATGCAATTTTTATGATCAAATAGACAATCAAAACCTACATTGATATCACTATTAAATAAAGGTGGTAGCATAAGTTCAGCTATTTTGTTGTACACCTTTTAATCTGGACGGGAGTGGAGAGACCAAATCACAGGAAATGAAGCTTAAGCAGTTTTGTGAACAGGAGAGTTTATCATCTCTTAAATCCATTGTGAAATTATTCCTGGAATAAATTTGTCTTGTTAGTACACAGGGATAGGTGTTAATCAGAGTAAATAGGCTATGGTTTTTATGCTGTAAACAATTATAAGCTATGAACATAAGCTGTGTAATTAAGTAACCAAAACTCCTGTGATTTGAGTGCTACACAGTGCATACATGTGCATGAAATTGTGCTGTTTATACTAAGTGGCATAGCCACTCAGTTAACTTGCTCTTGGTGTAAGATTTTTCTGCTTTATGTTAATTTTCTTTGAACAACTCCTAAACCTTTGTTTCATTTTGTCTTTAGTCAGTTGTGGTAAATGCATTGGTAATATAGGAAATACAGGAAATAAAGCTATTCTACAAGTATAGGCCTTTACAATTTACTTGGTCATGCTAGGTTCATATGTGTCCCAATGGGGAGCCCCTATACATTCAATAGTGCTCTGCGTGAGCACGGGGGTCCATCTGTATACAGTCCGTTACCTTCGCCTGCAGCTATACCACCTAGAGCTGTGTGCTTATCAGAGCTAATAATGCAAGTAGTGACAGCCTGTCCAGCACGTGTTGAAGAGCCATGCAGGGAAAAGAAACCCCAAGGGTTAAAAACTAAATAAAAATTAGAGGTTTTGTTAACTCAAGAGGTGATCCTGCTACCCTAGCGTGGCTAAATGGGTGACCCATTGCTGTGCTCGAGCGTTAGCGTACCAGGGTAACTTAGGGATGAAATAACCATGAAAATGTGTCCGATAATTTTAAAGAACAATTAAGTATTGTGTCTGGTCATATTTAATTTTACCTAGAATATTTAATTTTACTTTGAACTTTTTTCAGATGGTTCCAGTATAGTTCTTGTGTGTGCTACACGTTTCTGAACAATTTTGTACATCTTAGTTGCAGAATAATTTCTGCCTGTTTAAGATTTTCAAGCACCTTTTCAGTGAAAATGGATATATTTGTAGTTTTATTAAGAGGTTAAACATGCTTTCTTTAAAATGCTAGTCAATTTTCCATAAGTATTATGGAAATGTGCTTTATTGTGTTAATATCCATGCACTGTGTGTATGTGAAATTGTGGGCTATTGTAGGAGTATCAAAAGTGTTGTAAAAACCAAGCAAACAAAAAAATCCAACAACATTATGATACATTATTGATATTAAAATAGCATACTTTCATTGTATTTGTACAAACTGTAGCATGAGTTTGTCTGAAATAATATTAAATTAATGTGTCCTTAGCATATAAAAATATGTGCTTTCAATCTGAAGTAGCTAGAAGGAGCATTTATTTGCCATTGCCTCATCCATTGCTTTTATGAAATAATTTCTTAAGCAAACTGTTTTCCTTTAAGATTTTCAAGTTTTTGGCTTTTAATTTCCAGTTATAAAATTTATTCTTGAGTAAACTTCCTTAAAGCAAAATCACAGCAAATTTCAGGAACCTGAAATTAGCATTTTTTTATCACAAGGGTTATCTTTAGCTTAACAAATCTTCCATAGTTTCATCTGGTTGTGCTGTGCCTTCCATGACTCCTCTGTGCTCTTAAACAAGAAACACACACTAAAAAACCTGCAAGAGCTTTGGTTGATCTTGATCACGTCTACATAAATGTTTGTTCCATTTCTTAAGAGCACTTAGTCTGCTGTTCAGAGTTACCAATTCTGAAATTTTTAACTTGATGAGTTTAGATAGAGAAGAACAGTTGAGGACAGAAGTACACAAACAGGTGTACTTTCAGGATTGGACACTCAGTTCAGTTTGATTTTTGGGTTACTTGGCTTGGAAAACAAAAACAGAAACAGCTGACTAGCTTTGACAGGCTGTGGGTTTGGACTCTGAAGAAGTTGACTTAAGCTGAGATCCCAAAAAGAAAGTGCTGGATCATTGAGTCATTCGTGAAACCATAATTTTGTATTATATTTTTTGTATATGTTTTGTGTATTTGTATTTATAAAGCAATTCTCCTTACTTTCCAAAACCCCAAAATCCTTTTTTTGCTGGGAGAAAAACAATTTTGCTCCAGAGATAAAGGGTTTTAGTTCTAAACTTTTTTTTTCTAAATTTTGTTGTCTACTACTGATATGTAGTCTGGATTTGGGCCTTTAAAGGTCACCAAGAGTGACTTGCAGATGTCTTCTGTAATTGTGACTCATTTGTAAGGCTCGTGGGTTCACGTAGGAAACTGAGCTACATGCTTTTCAGGGTGAATAGTGGGTAGATAGTTCAGATCACTCTGGATCTGCCATTAGGAAGGTAGTGGTGTAAGGGAAACAATTTGGATGATTGAAGACCTGATCCTGCCTGTGACTCTGCAAATAAGAATGTGCCCTCTTCTCATTTGAAGATTGTTGTGGGAGATACCCATCTGGCCAAAACAGTAAGTTTTTCTGTTTGTGGTTTTGGGGTTTTTTTTGTGTGTGTGTGGTTTTTTGGTTTGTTTTTTTGTTTGTTTTTTTTAATGGGAGGGAGACAAATGGGGGTTGTTTCCACCTGTGCTGGGTTAAGGACCCTTCCCTGGAGCAAACTGTTACGTTGGTTCTGTTGACCATAGGAAATGTGTAATTAGGGCAACTGGATTTACATTGCTGAAAAAACTCTTAAAATACTTGGCAAGGCTTTAAAAAATGGTTTGGAAAGTGTGGCTGGAAAAGGACATTTCTAAGCAGCCACCCTCCTCCCATTCTCCAGTTTCCCCATTAGCCCTCTCCTCCTCAGGGCTCATGTTGATACTTAGTGGAAATGATGGGATGCAACACTACTTCAGGCTTCTCTACAGTAGAGCATGACCAGTGTCAACCAGAGTTTTGATAATGTGCAGTTACTCAACAGTCCTGTCACTGACATTATCTCTGTCCCCGTAGGGGCCACCTGCTCTAGACCATGACCCTTACACCTGACACATCAAGGCCCATAAAACCAAATAAATTTCTGATTGAACTACATGTGATGCTGTACATTTAAATGCCCAAGTACACCTTTAGATATTCCTTCTTCAAAAAAGAAGTCATGTTATATATGCTTTCTTACCAGAAATGCAGGTAATGAAATGTGTGAAATACTTAGTACATTTCAGCTTGATGTTCCTCAGTGGTGTTGCTCACTTTCCTTTGAACTGCAGGCC